GTCGAAATATGAATATTCGATACTTACTAAGCAGTTGATTTTGTGCTACCGATTGCGCTAGTTTCCACATTTTCACCCTTCGTCTTGAATAATTAATAAGATTTGAACTGTGTTATGAGAGCTTTGTTAGAATTCATATGTACTGTAAAATTAAACTCCATTCCTGTGTTAACAAATTAAAAATTTTAATTGTTAGTAATATTTTAAACACTTTTTATTTTTATTATCTCTCTCCTTAATTTAATTTTTTATAAGAAAACTGATGGATTGAATGTGACATTTAGTAACAAATCAGCTTTAGAGATTTCTTTTATGACTTTTCGGCACTTTGTTATGGCTTTTAGGGTGTCATCGTTACAGCTTATTGTAACATTTTTTAACCTCAGGTAAAGTGGCAAAACCTGTTCTTAGATGAGTTAATCAATATAATAATACACTTATTATTAAAGGATGTGGTCGTATTTCACATGAATCACGTAAAGTGCTAACACTCACAAAAATGCACGACTTTTAATATAAAAGTTTTATTGTTAAACATACAATTATATACGTTACCCTTAATTGGTATCATATATGTGATCACGAGAAATATTAATTGTTATCAAGGAATATCCGGAGTTCTCATAAAATGTCAACATTATTATTAGCAAAAAATAATGATAGCTTACGCTTACCATCATCAACTCATGATGTTATTGTGGGATATTAGAATACTAAAGTATTTATTAATAAAAGTTGAAGAAGAATAGTAAATATCATTCCTTATTTGGTAATTTTAAATCTTTATCTGAGGTAATCATAATTGGTTGTCTTAATTAAGGTAGAGAGATTTAAATAATCATTAAAATTCAGTTCGAATTGATTTTGTTTTGAAATTAATTGATTGACTATCTCAATTTTTCTGTCCAAAGGAAAGGAACAATAAAGAAATGTAACAAATTCTATGAATGTAATATGTCTAATAAACTTACAATGTCACTAATATATTTAATATACTTATAAAAGTCACTTCTCCTTTTAAAAATAACAATTAAATATTTTACTTGTTGTTTTTAATTAATAAATTGTCACGAACCAAATTCAAATACTTGTCTTTCACACCATCAGTTTCAAATGTTGCTATTTTTTATTGGAAAATAATTATTCTTGTGTGTGTTCAGAGATGTATGAGTATAATCAGCATTATCAAGTTCTATATTTTTAGCATTATCTCTGATGATTATATATAAACGTGCAACGGGCTGATTCACACGATCATGCGGTCGATCTCAATTTGATGCTTGTGGAACCGCAGGCTACAGGCATAATTAGATTTATTATAATCCCCTAGTTTAATAATAATAATAATCATTTTTATTAAAGTAACCATGACTCATTGCTTATTAGTAATACATAAACACTTATCCTATGTTAGTAGAGACTATTTACACATTAACACACACACTATAATTAATTTATGCACTCCATGAGAGACGGGGCTGTAGTGACCCATGTATCTGCAATCTAACCTCTCTGCAATCATGGCTAGTATGAAGATTTAATCATTTTGAGATTCCAATTTAACCACATAACTCTAACCTCATTTTGGACAATAAATGTCCATCATGTGATCATCTCTAAATCATGATAATGGGTATATAATATCTCATTAGTAACTAACATCCAAGTTTAAAATGATGATAATTATAAAATAATTAAGGTTGCAAAAATATTTTGATATCCAGACAGATATTAATGATGTCTAAAATACAGTTTAGTGATTATTCACATGATAGATACCACAGCGTACGTTGTTGTTAACGTTTATCCAAAAACTCTCTTATTGATACTTGTCTCGAAAGAACTATGACAGTAAAATGTGTGTGCATTACATTAAGCATAGTTTTTGCTCATCTGACACTTTCAGTATTTTCAGAAATGTATAAAGTGACACTGCGGAGCATCGAATTATGCACCAAAGTAGACCCGCCATATATGGAAGAAAATCCAATGGAGCTAAATATCGTCGGTTACAATAAAAGTGGTAATTTCTACTTCAGAGGCAATCTAACCATACGACGAAATTTGCAGGGTTATTTCTATCGTATAAAGACCGGGGTCGAAAAGGCTGGTGGTGAAATAAAATATTTGAATCAATATAAAAAGTTGACGTGTAAAAGTGTAATTCCCAAATTGCTTCTTATTTCAGCTGGTGTGAAATACAATGAAAAAACATGTGAGATTTATAAAGGGTATTACAGTTTCAATAGATTAGATGTACATAAACTACAACCTGGAACTTATTACTTTCCAATCAAAGAAATTGGAGAAAGTTTGGTATATTTTAGTGTTTATAATAATCGAGGTACTTGTATCTGTACGCTTGCACGATACGTTCTGAAAGCTAATTAATTTAAGAGCGTATTTGCCGAATAGCAGTGTTTTTTTTTTTGTAAAATAATAAATGTGTGCAAATTTTATTAAATATTTGATTTTCTTATTTATCCGACATTTATGCGACAAGTAGAAAACCTATGAGCACGCATAGCCGGTTAAAAGTGAGGCGGAATTCTATTCCTTTCAACAGCATGGTGAAACATTAGTATTTCATAGTACTGCACAACTCGTTGACTAAGTAATAAGATTCATTCTTATTACTGGGTGTTACAGAAAGATATGGCCATGTCTTAAGATAATATAGTTGACGCCGTAAATATGGTATAGCGTTAGTAAGATTAGTAAATTTTAATATAGAATTCTTTTTAAGCAACTGACAAGTTGTACTGGAAACTTTACCTATAAATCGAATATTTCAGATAAAAAATTTAACCTAACGAGAATAAAACTATAGGTATTTGATATATTAACAGAATTTATGGATTTTTTGATAGGTGATTTCTACTTTAAAAGCTTAAAATAAATCAATGCCATTAGCATGCAAATTCATAATGTGTTGTTTGTCTACGAGTACAACAGGACAAGAAACGACCACAGTAGTAGCAACAGTATTCTGTAGAGCGAGCGATTGGCAACATTATTTCTAAGAATTTATAGAGATGAACGGGATTTATAGTGATGTAAGTATGTATTAACACATGATAGGTAAATAAATATATGTGTTTTATTTTGTATTTGTTATGGATAGCATTCACTTTAAAACCGGTAGAGATTTTAAATATAAATGAAAATAAGTGTAAAAGTACATGTACTTATAATACTTTTATTATTAAAACATGAAAATGTAGAAACAAAAATCATAAAATAATATCATCAAATGAATTTATTTAAAAATATTAGAGTAGTTTAATCACTATGCATTAACAAAATACAAATGCTCTAAATAAGTGTAGTATTTAGTTGATTAATTTCAGGTACATAAATACTAATTAATATTATTTAACGGGAATTAACGCGATCTCTTATTTAGGGTATTACATACCTCTGGTTTGCCTGACGTTTCGACCAGGTTGCACCGGCCGTGGTCACAGGCTGACTGGCTCATCGGCGCACGCCCTCCGTCGTCGAATCCGTGAAGTAGAAGGCTCTTCATCTACCCGCACATTTTCGATATTATTTTTGTGTCGCCATGTACCGTCACATACCACACTAACAGTGTCCCTATTCTGTAAGCAAACCGATGAGTCCCTATTCTGGTGTTTAACCGATTGCGCAGAAAAGCGAGGTGGTATGTTTTTTAACACTGGATTCCACGCTGTAGATGTAGCTGTAGAAGAGAAGGCTTTAAATCTCAGCCCGAATACCGTTAAGCTATGGAAGCGATACGTGGATGACATTTTCAGTATCGTCAAAGGAAACAAACAAGAAGTGGATCAATATATACAACATCTGAACTCTATTCACCCCAAAATGAGGTTTACATATGAAATGGAGACGGACAGGTCGTTGTCCTTCTTAGATGTTAAAGTAGCCGTGAGATCGGATGGGTCCTTGTCACACTGTGTGTACCGTAAACCTACTCATACGGACAGATACCTACACGCCACGTCTCATCATCACCCCCGGCACTTGCAATCTGTTATGACTTCACTCAAAAACAGAGCTTACGATCTCAGTGACCCTGAACATTTAGAACAGGAGCTAAAACATGTTCAGGAGGTACTCAAAGGTAACGGATATCAAGTGAAAGGAGGACGGAAGCAACCGAAAATAAGACGCAAGTATCCAGAAGTGAACAGGCAACCGGCCTATATGCCTTATGTCAAGGGAGTTACGGACAAGATCGGGTCTGTACTAAAGAAATATTCCATTCCGACAGTATACACACCAGGCATAAAGGTTCACAACATCGTCGGCACACCGAAGGATACATTGCCACTACAAACTCCGGGTGTTTATAAAATAGACTGCAGCTGCGGAAGCTCATACATAGGCCAAACTAAGCGGACTATTGCAGAAAGGGTCAAAGAGCATATCGCTGCTGTGAAGAACCGACAGACGAGCAAATCAGCGATTGCAGAACATGCACTCGATGCAGGCATCAACCACTGGATTGAATTTCACCGCACGCAAGTCCTCTCCACCGAACGTCACTTTTACTCAAGAGTTGTACGTGAAGCGATTGAGATTAAAAAGCAAAAAACTTTCAATCGGGAAGATGGTTTTAAATTATCTACAGCGTGGAATCCAGTGTTAAAAAACATACCACCTCGCTTTTCTGCGCAATCGGTTAAACACCAGAATAGGGACTCATCGGTTTGCTTACAGAATAGGGACACTGTTAGTGTGGTATGTGACGGTACATGGCGACACAAAAATAATATCGAAAATGTGCGGGTAGATGAAGAGCCTTCTACTTCACGGATTCGACGACGGAGGGCGTGCGCCGATGAGCCAGTCAGCCTGTGACCACGGCCGGTGCAACCTGGTCGAAACGTCAGGCAAACCAGAGGTATGTAATACCCTAAATAAGAGATCGCGTTAATTCCCGTTAAATAATATTAATTATCATGGAACGCGAAAGTTTAAAAGTTAGTATACATAAATACTGTTAATGTATTCCATTATTGTGACTCTGTTTCTGATGCTGGGTCTGCTTTTGCAGGTTCTTGTACAATTATTACTTGCTTGTTGGCCCTCCGCCTTGCGTGTGGTCCAAGCCTAATTTTAGTTGGTTGATTAGATACCTCGCCGTTTATCTGTAAAGTATTACAAAAGCAAATTCTAGTTGATGGCTTTTATATATCTTCACCATTTCTTTACTGAGACTACAAAAAGAATAATGATATGAATCCGCCGCCATGAATAGTGTATAGCATTTAAAGAAAGTGATGTTTCGAAATAATGTTAAAATGAAAAAAGGAAAGAGAATATTTTCTCTAAATGTGTAAGCTTGTGGATATTTTTTCTTATATTTAATAAACTGGTTTCTTGACTAGGTCATATGCCTTAATAATTTTACCTGTACTTGCTTTCTTGCTGCATTATTTTCCAAAAATGTGTTTACTGCTGACAGAGTGTTAATAGGTATCTATAAAAATAATGAACAAGTTTTAAATATAATGTACATTTAAATAAGAGCAAAATATAATAAAAGCGCGAAATTTACAAAGCTATACCCGCCATTTACCCACATCAATATAAAATAAATTAATAAAATTAAAAAAAATATTCCACATTTTCCAATTAAAGAAATAGAAGGCAGTCTACATAACAGCTTTTAGCCATTTGTTCTTTGTATTCAAACTACCACCTTCGAGTCCTCTGTAAATTTGCCTAGAGGTATCTTACTGTACTTTTACTGATTTTAATTGGACTTCTAGACATATTTATTAAAATAACAATCAATGCTTTGGCAGATCTTGTTACTTCAAACTTTTTCTAGATGCTATATTATCGTAGAATAAAAGTCTAACCATATTTTGCATAATAGTCCTCTGTGTAAGTTTTAATTTAAGGACTAGTCTCATCAAAAGATGGCCAGGCTTTTTGGGCACAACACAGTTTGCTGCTAAAATGTGTATTTAAAACAGAAATATATAACTTACCTATACTTGTTTTGCTTAGGCTATACAGGTTACCACGGGTGTTAGTTAAAATAAAAATTATATAAAACTAAAATAAAAGCTAAATTAAGAACCTCACTTCACTACTATTTGTTAGCTGTGTATGCAAACAATCACAGTGTGGTAAATAATAGATGGTATAAAGCTAAAAGTAACTGCACTAATTCATTTGGGTTTAGCATGTGAAGTTGACTTGTCATGTAAGTTGAAGGCCACAATTGGTAATTTTTTATCTTATTTCTTGCTTCTGATTGGTATTGTTTTTGAAAAAATATTTAACTCTGTTATATAGTTTGTTTTGTTCTGTTACCTCACCTTTTTCACACCTATTTCAAACTATATAATAGGACTCTTATTTGTTCATAGAATACTTATTTTGTTTTAAAATTGCCTGAATGGAGTACATTTGTATCTTTGACGTGGTTCATTCTACGTCTTCACACACAAATGGTATGGAATGATAAAGTTAAAGACAAATTGCAAGCAGCGCATAAACTCAAAGTTTCAAATACTCGTATTATAATGTGTAGACACGAAGTATATTCAGGCTCAGTGATAATTATTTAGAATTATAAAATATTTTTTTAGGTAGAATTTAAAACTTTAAATGTTATTTAGTTAGTTATTTTTTCAATTGTAAGAATCGTAAAGAAATTCTGAAATGTAAATCATACTGGTGTCAATACATTTATGATTAATTGTAACATGACATTAAGCGCCTAATCCTAATTATTATTAAAAATATGAATTATCCACAGTCCAAAGATTTAGTTTTGTTAAAAAGCCATGCATTTTTTAGGCATATGTATGTATAGCGTATTAGTAACTATATGTCGATAGATGTAAATAGTGTTAGTCAGATAGTTTTAAAACCAAAATTATATTATTCAAAGATTGTGATGCATGAAGATGAACTTACAGAAAATATGTCGTCAATAAATTTGGTAGCACTTGGTGTCTTTACCGATACATGTGCTTCCGATGAAGATGCTACTGAATTTGATGCAGGCACATGCTTCGATGATTCTAAATCTGATTCTGTAGAAAGTTTTGTGATGAATGCATGGTGATTTAATTTTGATTTGATACAACATAAAAAACATAAACTTAAGCGATAATACAATGATAAAGGTGAAAAGTGCAACAAGTATATAACGTATGGTATATTGGTCTTTTTTTTTGTTAGTCGGTTTAGGGCATTACCTTCATTACAAACATAAATGCCCTTGCATTGTTTCATCATATAATATCTCAGTGCATATCTAAGATTTACTCGTACAATAGTTAGCAAAGCTATACAAGTATTAGGTTATAATTATATTTCTTTAGGCCTTTTATGCAAATAATAGGTCTTTACCTATGAAATTGCCATTTTGTATGCAACAAGTGAAAGTACTTATTTTTTCAAACTTTTTTATTTCTGTTATTCAAAGTAATCACCCATGCAATCGACGCATCTTTGCCAACGCATTGGCAGTTTATTGATGCCCTTCTTGTAAAAATCAGCTGGACGGGAGGCAACAAACTCATTTTGTACTGTCATTTCAAGGCATTTTGTACTGCCTCTCGGGAATTGAATTTTTTACCCACTAAAAAGTTGTCTAAATTTTGGAAAAAGTAATAGTCGGTAGGTGCAAGGTCTGGTGAGTATGGCGGATGAGGTAGAGCTTCCAACCCCAGCTCTTGCAGCTTGGAGACTGTCTGTTGCGCAGTATAGGGTCGCGCGTTGTCGTGAAGGAGCAGTGGGGACGACCGATTGACCATAGCTGGTTGCAGATGTGCAAGCTTCTCCATCATTCTCTCCAGTTCTTCACAGTACACATCTGCATTAATGCTCATGCTGTTTTGTAAAAAGCTGTGGTGAATCACACCCGCACTAAACCACCAAACAATGACCATCACCTTTTTAGGGCTCATTTTTGGTTTAGGGCATTGCTGAGCGCTTTCGATTGTCGAACAGAATCCATTTTTTGTCGCACGTAACAATTCTTTTCAAAATTCCTGCATTTCTTTGCCTGTTGAGCAGCCCAAGGCAGGCCTCGACGCGTACGTTGCGTTGGCGATCGTTAAGGGCACATATCTATCAAGCTTTTTTACCTTGCCAATTTGTCGCAAATGGATCATTATTGTTTTGATGCTTACATTAAAAGCTGCTGCTAGCTCAGCTGTAGATTGAGTTTCGTCAGCTTCCACAATCGCCTTTAATTCATTATTATTAACCAAAGTCTCCGGACGACCACGAGCTTCATTTTTCAAGTCAAAATTTCCAGAACGGAATCGGGAAAACAAATAACGGGTTGTGCGTTGGTTTGTACAGTTCTCTCCGTAAACGTTTTTGATGTTACGTGCCGTTTGTGTCGCGTTGGTGCCACGACGAAACTCATATTCCATAATTACACGAATTTTTAAAGTATCCATTATGACGAAAAATGTTCAAATGTAATGAAAATACAACGCTAATCAAAAAACAAAAGACTGAGTTTGTAAATAGAATGTCATAGTTTTAAAACAAAATTAATTTGAATTTAGAATACAGAGCCATTACAAACTTTTTTTTATTTGAAATGATCAGTACTGAAGAAAGGCAATTTCATAGGTAAAGGCCTAATATTTTATATAAAACTAGAGGTACTATGCCACGCTTCGCTGTGGCAGATTGTGGTTGCATTGGGAACAAAACTGACGCGAAAATAGATAAAATCATATTTGAAGGGGGTTGTATATTGTGTAAAAAATTCAGCTCAATCGGTTCAGAACTTTATAAATTTTTGCAGCATACACAAAAATTTAACATTTTCCGAACCGAATCAGCGCAAATTTTGAGACGATATACAGCCTGCTTTATAACCGACAAACCCTCCTTTCTAAAGAGAGGCCTATATCTAGCAGTGGGCTAGTAAAGGCTATTGATGATGATGATTGAACCAGCTTCAAAGATTGTTTTTTTTTGTTTGTTTTGTTCCTCATTTCCTTATTAGTGGAACCATAAAGTGCTACAGCAAATCTTGGCAGGGTACAGTTAGTAGTTTATAAATATAAACTTATTTTGCTTTCAGATTTAAGCAATAGGATTGATTTAATAAAATGTGATTTGTTACAAAAACACATGTTTTCATATTTAAATATTCATTATTTATTTTAAACCATCCCTAATTTTTTTTATTTGTATAAAACTAAATATTAGATATTAATAATAACCACCTGCACGAACTGAAGCCGATTTTTGTACAGATACACTTGTACTTCCAGCAGCATTAGTTAAAAAACTATTAACAGCTTTCAATGTAGCAATCGGAATCTGTAAACAGAATTGGAATAAATCTCAGGGTGTGTTCGTCGGGGGTGACAGGTGACGCCATCTGTCACCCTAGCAGAAGCAGGCCGGGGTGGCGGCGAGCGCGTTGCGAAGCGCGCTCGCTTCCAGGGAGCAGAGGCAACATGGGGTGCCCACACGGGGGGTAGATGGCCCGAGGTATGTCGGGGCACCAGGGACTTCCTTTCTAGGGTATACCTGGTTCCCCGGCTATTAGTACCCGAGACGGCGTGCGGTTTTAGTCGGTTCGAGTCCGACATGCCACCGGAAAAAAAAAAGGGTATGTTCGTAAGGTTTCGAATATTTAAGTACAATACTGAAGTTATCTAACCACTTACATTAAAAATATCCTGAAAGAATGTAGGGTTTTTCTGTACAGTTACTCTTTTTGTATAAGTAACTTCGCCAGAAGTGTCATGATGTGCATTCACATTTCCGTTTGCACCTGCACCGGCATATACTTCTCCTTCAAGTCCCACATCAGATCTTCTTTCAATAGGCTGAATAGTTTTTACTACAGTTGGCTGCGCCACAGCGGCGTCAGCATTGGCACCAATGTAGCCACCAATATAGGCTGTCTTTCTAAAATGATGGCGATGAGGTTTGTGAGCACGAATGATAGTTTTCTCAATCACTTGTGGTGGTGGAGGCTCAACGTAAACCTAAAAAAAATCAATAGTATTGTTTTACTATCTAATTAAATATATATAGTTACGTACATCACATCAAAGACGTATTTGATTTATTGAACAAAACCTTTAATGATATAATTTAATATATTTGACTATGGGTTTAAAAAACTTTTAGCGATTGACAATTACAGTAGACTATGATTTATAATGAGATAAAAAGTGACTTTCATAATAATACAATTTTGTTCAGGTTTGTTATTTTTTGAATAAAACTTTATGAAAAACAATTTTCCCACATAAACATGAAAAGTTAGATACAAAGATGCTAATTGTATATTAGCATCTTTGTATATTTCTTCATAAACTGAAGTGTTTAGTGCTATGTAGTGATTAAATTAGTACATTATACTGTGAGTGTTGCAATATTTAGACAGTCAAGAAGTCTCTGGTCATTAACGTTTACTTGATTTTAGAACAAACCTTCTTGTCAACAATGTACTGCAATGGCATGTACCATATCGGTAGACTAAAGTTTGCCTGGGGAACAAAAAACCACCCACTTGTCATATGCTGTAGACTTGGTCTATAGCGGGTACTTGTTAGATAGTGTGAATCTTTCCAATTACTCACTTCTTTCACAACAACAGCCGGTTGAGATTCAGCTTTTACTGCTAAATTTGCTTCTAGGTCACCTTTTGCAACAGGTACAATTTCATTACTAGCATCAAGATTTACTTCAGTGTAAACTTTCTTGTGTGCTGATTTAACCACGGGGGCTGCTTCAACTTCTATCTCTCCAGCTCCTGTAGCACCAACCTGAATTATTTAAGTATGTTTTAATATATTTCTAACATAACTTTTCTACATCCTAGTTGATTTTTATACAAAATTCTGAAAACGACGCAACAAATAACTAATAGGATGCATGTCTAGAAGAGCCCTACCAAAAGCACCATGCGAAAATAGTAAATAGACGTATAGTGATAAATGGAGTCATAAAGTGAACACAGAATGAACGTGCATTGTGAATGCATGCACTTAGAAACTTGGTATTTTTACCTTAGTCCAGTAAGTAACCACACGTTAGACCCAACTACCGCCACGTTTTGCTGCTAACATAGGAATATTTAGATAGACAAAACTATTTGTAAACTTAAACATTTGACTTCAGTAAACTTCAAAATTTTGCCTTACTATTTTGCATAATTTATTTATATTTATTTATTTATTTAAAATTTAATGCACATGTTGTACAAAGGTGGACTTAATGCCATGGGTCTCTCCCAGTCAACCTTCAGGTGTTATAAAAATATGATGCGGTAGGTGCAAAATAAAATAATTAATTTAACAGAATTCCAAAAGTATACACAATATATAAACACACATGCATGCATAAACATACATACATAAATATAATATAAAAATACTCAGTCGGGTACTGTTCTACCGTTCATTGCTTATGATTGTTCTACCAATTCATTTCGAAGAAGATCGCGCACGCGGTTTGTTGACATCCTGACTTTGACAGGAAGAGCATTCCAAAGAAGATCTGACTGGACGTAAAAGGAGGAGTTGATGAAGTTGAGGAGGGCATAGAAGAAGCATATTGTTTGTTGACCGAAGGTTTCAGTCGTGATTGGAGCATAAGAAACGAAAGTGGCGTATGAGGTATTCAGGTAACGAGGGAGAGTTGAGGAAACAAAAAAGAGAGGTCAGTACTCGCAAACTGCGGCGCTGTAGAATTGGGAGCCATTGCAGCTAAAAACGTAAAACAGACACATGGTCATACTTGCGAAAATTGAAAACGAATTGAATGCAGTTATTGAGAAGGCGATCTAGTTTATTGAGAGGGTCTGCATTCAGGTTGAGGTAACACACATCACCATCGTCAATTAAGGGAATAATTAAGGACTGAATAAGCCTAGCCTGCATTTTTATGGGAAGGAAGTTCTTCAGACGATATACTTGACTTTCTGGCTGACACGTCTAATTTGTGTACGCCAGTCAAGTGTCAAGTCGATATTTAAGCCCAGGTTCTTTACCACTGCACTCAAAGGGATAGTCACGTTGTTGTAGACAATGGGTGGTATAACGACTGTATCCAACCTACCTAACATTTGTTTGCTCCCCACGACGATCACTTGAAATATGTTTGGATTTACCGACAAACCAAACTTCGTTGACCAGCTCTTTCTAAAGTTCAAGTCTTTGTTGACTTTGTCGATGGCGTATGTTATGTCCTCAACCCTTCACTGGGTGTACACTTGTAAGACATCAGCTTACAGGTGATACGTACACAGAAGATGTTGGGTTATGAGATTAATGAATATTAAGAATAGTAATGGAGATAATATTATATCGCCTTGAGGGACGCCAGTGAGAAGATGACAAGTCGTCAATATGAACACATTGTTGTCGTCACTGCAGATAGGAGGAGAACCATTCCAGAGCTTCTGAGGAGGTCAAAAGATAGGAAAGGATGGCCAGTAGGACGTCATGACTAACGATATTAAAGCCAATCGAGAAATCAACCAAAGCCAGCACTGTGACTTTGAGGAGAGCGGTGGTTGTGCTGTGACCGGGTCTCAACCCAGATTGTAAAGGACTAAGAAGATTCTGCTGATGTAAAAACTGTGAGAGCTGCTTATGTACACAGGCCTCTAGTACTTTGGAAAGAAAGGAAAGCATAGAAATTGGTCGAAAGTGCTCAGGGAGAGACGGGTTAGTTTTTTTGGGTAAAGGAATGATGAAGGCCTTATGCCAGAATGAGAGAAAGGTTCCGGAGTCGAGTGAATAGTTGATGAAATGGGATATTACTGGCAGAATGTGATCCAGATAAGTAACAATTATTCTGATGCTGATGCCGTCACATCCCACAGCATTGGAACGAAATGACAGGATAATCTTTTTGATGTCCTCAGAAGATGTCGCAGAAAATACAAAGGATTTAATATCAGACTAGCGATATAGCTTAAAATTAGACTCTTGGTTTGATGATCCTACTGATTTATGTATGTAAACGTTTATGTACGTAAATGTTGATGTATGTAATTGTAAATATAACTTAACAGTAGTAACAAGACCAAATTAAGTCAGATGGGTGCATTTTTGTACCAAGTGAGAGTTGGGCATTGCCATTAATATGTGGTAAGTAATTGATGACAATTTGGAATATAGGGCTCTTTTCACCGCTTATGAAAGGTATGATTAATGTAGAAGAGAATATGAGTAGCGAATCGAATGATGCTTTATCGCTTCTGCACTCTCCGAGTAAAATGAATAATAATATGCACGTATGTATGTACATAAGACTAGGCATATTTAAAAAAAGAAACATTTAAGTAAACACTCAGGATGAGATGATTAAGATGTCAACAATTTTCTTCCTGTTGCTTCACACTGAATGATAACACATTTTTTTTAAGAATTTTATTTAGACCATAGGAAGGAATTTTAATAATAGATTGGGATACAATACTACTACGAATTAAAAGGCCTTAGTATCCTCAACCGATTAATAATCACTGGTGTTCATCTCCTTTGCCCTTGAGGCCTTCTTAAGTTCCTTAAGTTTGCGTCTTTCTTCTTTTCTTCTAGCTTTTTCTGTGTTGTCACCTACCAGGGCAGAAGAAGCATAATGGCCTCCGGATGAAGCTGAAGCGAAGCCTCCGCCTGAAGATCTTTCGGCGTTTACTTCACCTCCAAGGCCAGCTGCCGCTTTGACGTTACCACCAGCAGTAGCATCGGCATATAATCCACCTGTTATGAATAAAAATATAGCCAGTTTATTAACATGCTAATTCAAATTAATTTCTGTCAATGTAACCCTATAACATAAGAAAAAAAAAAATTATTTAATTTCGCGGGGTACCACGTAATTCGATTATTTACCATAAGAAAAGTTTTCAGTTTTTTTTTTAAATTAAAATGACATTTAGAGGTCGCTACCAAGGGTTGAATTTTAAATAAAATCTCAAAATCTGTATTTGTTAGATTCTTTTATTTTTATGGCTAGGATATAAAAAATAATTACAAAAATATTGTTGTTGTTATGAACTAAGATATTATGTAGATATTTGAATCACTTATTTCTAAGATACAAGGGTTGACTTGTTTGTATTAGGGTACTTTTTCCTATACTCTTTTACCAACAAAAGCAAATATTGCTTCTGTTCTTCATTGGTTGAAATTAATTTATTAAAGCAACACCGCGCTCAGGTATGTTGTTCACTACTCGGAAAGAATGAACAGTATTTTTGGCAGCTACATAAACAGTGTCTTCGTTCCAAGTTTCTAAGTCTTTTTTCAAAAAAAATAATGAGATACCTAGGATCTGAAAGAATCTTAAGAAATTACTACTTACGAAGTTGTTTATATTTTTCTCGTGGATATGTATCACACATCAAGGTTTATTCTTTTTAAGTAATCTTCTGTGCCTTAAATTTTCAGTGCTTGTACCATTTTTTACTTTTCTTGAACTGAAAGTTCGTCATCGAAAAAGGCCAGGGAAACTAGCTCTTCCGACAAATACCACAAATGATTTACAATCTATTTTAAATTTCTTTCAAAGGCTTTAAGGTCTTTCAATAATCGTAAGTCGTTTCTTGGTGCTGACCATCGGCGGTAGAGGCTTGAAATGTTTAATATTTAACATAAATCATCACCGTGAAAGTGCATATTTCTTTCACAGCCTTTTCGTCCTTCTGCGTTAGCTTAAATTGATGCTTAAATAAATAATTTTTCAAACAGTACAAGGCTCTTGCCATCCACCTAGCTCGATGTAGACCAGCAGGTCTCCTAAATAAAACGCCTTTCTCAGTAACACCTCCTAAGAACAAGATAGTGGGATTTAACAGTTCTCTGTAGCCATCTTGAGGTTGATATACTTGTAGTTGCTTTTTGGCAAAAGAAATCCTGTCTGTGGCCACTTCTGCAAGAATATTTACCTTCGCATCATATGCATCATCAGCATCATCTGTTATTGTTTTTATATATATATACATTATTGTGTTCTTAAATCTTTAAAATAATTGTTTTAAAACCATAGATCCACTACGGCTAACAACATAATTTCCATTATGTGGTGACCACAAGCAAACCACCACAAAAACCATTTTTTGCTCCAAACGAACGCATACTCCACTTCTTAAGCCGGTATTTACAGCAGTAGCGTCAAAACAAAATTTTTCCTTATCGCTCAAATTCCATGAATTTATAGAATCGTAGACAGCTGACGCACATGCTTCGCTCGTTTCACGTTCCAATTTTGTATCTTCTATAAGTTAACCCTCCCAATGGATTGTTAATGATGAAATAGAAGATCTATTGACATTCTGATGGATCACAGGCTGCACTTTTCAAAGTAGATGTCACGACCATAGATACTTCTTTGACATTCAATTGAAAGACATCAGGACTGAAAGAATTGGCTGTTAATAATGTATATTCGAGCTCATTTCTGAGGTGGTTGCATTTCGGACAATTCTGATATGCATTCGGAGTCACACGAAGTTGCTTCTTTACTGACGACGACGAAAGAAATGAATATGAAGCACTTTTTTGTTGAAGCCAAGATATCTTTGTTATCACGCTCGCGCAATTTTTCAAGGCATACTCCTTAATCTTTTATATTCTTACATTTGTTTAATCTTTTTCTGTCCACTGAACCAATTAAAAATTGGTTGCGATTTTGTCGCACTGCTAATAAAAAACTGCTTGTCTTCTTCTAAAGTCATAATATTTAAAGCATCACGATGAGAAATATCAAATAAATCTTCTAATTTTTGATGCCAGTTTTGTTCTTTTTTCTTTAATGCTTCTGAACGTTTTTCTTGTTTTCGTATCGTATCGTATCTTTTTTTTAGATTCTGCCATTCTTTGAATCGTTTGTCAATTATATTGATGACATGTTTTTTAATAGAATTGGTATACTAGCTTTTCCCCACAAATTTATAACTCTGCAAGCTGTCAAAGTCGCATATTCACGTGTGATTTTCCTGTCTTTATTCTTGTAGTAAAAAAAAACGCAAAACTTACTTCGGATAATAATTGATTAATAAACCAATTTTTACTTTGATTTCTAGTAGTAGTTTCTAGTAGCTAGTAGATTTCTAATTAACTGAGTCCGCTACTTGTAGACGCCATTGCAAGTTGAAACACGTTACTATGACTTTTACAATTAAAACACGCGCGCTCTCGTGAATGACTTATTAGAACTGAAGTGCGGGGTGGGCTAAGGGTGTTCACACAATCAAGAACATAAACCGTAAGACGTACAGTTTAAGATGTACACGTTGCGCAAGCGTAGGTCTTAAACTGTACTAACATTATAATAAGTTTAAAATTTGTTTGTGCGCATGCGTACGTCTTAAATTGTGTGAACGGTTTAAATCTCGGCGCATCGGTACATAAGCGAGGTCATAAACACCTAAATGGAACATTTATGAAGCCATCATTTATGTTGCTAAGCCCTTCAACGCTTTTTGTAAAAAAAAAGAACAGCTGGTAGCAACCTCTAAATCTTAACAAAAAAAAAGACAAAAAAAATATATATTTAGAGGTCAATCAAATGAGAAAGTGCCTCGGGATAATTCAAAAGTCGAAAAAGAAGGACTACCCTGATAAATATATGCATATTATTATGAATGCGTACTATGATAAATGAATATAATTATCAAAATTATGGCAATAACACTCTAACACATATTTACACCACAATATATTTTATTAAACAAAATATCCTGCTGTCGCGAAGTATTTTTCTATTATGATGACGTCAGTGACTAATTGTAGTCAATTTAGAGGTCAATTCAGATACGATAATAGCATAAGTAAGATTATATTAAGTCTGTAAAGATACAATGATATTGTTCAAAATTCATTAATCACAGGTATGGCTGAAGATAAGAGACTTTATAAAATCTGCGTGAAAATAGAACGTAACTGTGGAGAACCTACATAATTCATAATCCTGTTAAAAACTCACACACTGTTCCACTATCATTACAGCCGATCCTTGTTTTGTAGTTTCTTTTTTTAAAAAGACAATTTTCCTAACTAATTAATTAATGTATTTATACTTCCTGCAAGTACATTGCAGAAGGCAGACCCAATGCCATAAGAATTTGTTCCAGTCCACCTTTGGGTGATGCAGTAATCGAACTGGTGCATTGATCGAACTGCATACGATAAAATTACTTTTTTTTAGAACATCGGCTAAAACCAACTAAAAACTTTCTTTATCAACTAGTATGAAAATTATGAAAATGAGAAATAGACAAATCAAATTTGAGCACATAATAAAAATCTAGCTAGATTATAGTTTTATATAATATTTAATGTAAACTAAATTAAAGCATAAGCAAGCATTTCTCCAACTAAAATAATTTGAGAATACAGTTAGAAATAGTGGAAAAGTACTCTTAGTCCGCAGTATATGAAATATTTATAATAATTTCAAAAAGTAGTCAAAATTTTCTTACCAGAAGGTCCGCCATTTCCGCCCACTGATCCTCCTAATCCAGCCCTTGCAGCCTGGCCGTGTGGTGTGCCTGCTTCAGCAAAAAGACCGCCTTCTGCTCCTCCGTTACCACCTATTTTTTACAAAAAAAAAAACAATAATGTAACTTTAAATAAAATAAGTAGAGAATTCATATTAAATCCGCCTGGGGACCTAGGACTAGTTTAACACATGGCTCTCCTTAAGTATTTGGGGTCGGAAATAACATCACTCTTACCTCCTACATCCATACTATTTTACTAGCCTTAATCTCTGTCCTTCCGTAATATGCCATCTATCAAACAGTCATTTATGTTTTATAATCCATACTTACCTATATTATGTATTTCACAGTGCGTTTGTTTGTTTGTTTGTTACGCTTCCAGGCGTAAACCACTAAAACGATTTTAAAAGTTCTTTCACTTGTGGAAAGCTACATTATCAGCGAGTAACATAGACTACTTTTTACCGCGATAACCGACATACATGCGGGCGGAGGCGCGGGCAAAAGCGGGTTATGGATACGAGAAAAAATGTAACCAATAGGTTTTATATGCGTTTTATTTTTAACTACATTTGTTTCTTGTCTTACGTCATATGGCCAAGTCATATGAAACACGTTTATTAGGCCACTTCCAAATCTCCTCTGATAATATACATCAAGATTTATTAAGTGAATATTACGTCAGTGTCTAGCGTTAAATTAGCATTCTCATTGTAATCACAACACAAAAAATCTAAATGTATTTGGTGACTTTTCATGTGTAATTTTTTTTTGTGTGATTTTTTTTTAAACATAATCGGTTATTATGATATACATATTTATATAAAGGCTTTATAGTATAATAGATTGAGGATGGGATTTTTGTGTAAGAAATCGTAAATCAAAAATCGTAAAGCAAAACATTTATTTAGATACAAAATCTGGACGACATTATTTGAAATTCGCCGTTTTCGACACACATGCTATAAGAGCTGTCCACTTCAGTTATTGGATATTTTAAAACAGGATGTCATTAACTAACATCAATAATCAACAAAAATTATACTGATCCAAATTTATTTTTAACCTATGAAGTTGGAGATTTGTGTAAACATTTTATAATTTTTTTTTTTGGTTGTTTTAACTAATCAAAGTACTGGCCCAAATTATCTATACAATTTTGGAATATCGATGGCAGTTTATTTATCCCTTTACTGTAGAAGTCTGCTGAATGGGATGCGATGAAGTCAAAGAAAGCGTTTTGCACTGCCTCTCGTGTTGAATTGCTTCCCAATTGAAAACTATTTAAAATTTAAAAAAAAAACTAGAAATTTATTGTGGCTAGGCCCGGTGAGTAGGTTGGGTGACGGAGAGCTTCCAGTTGTAACTCCTGTAGCTTTGTGATGGTCTGTTGTGAAGTGTTAGCTCGCGCGTTGTCGTGGAGAAGCAACGTGGAAGAGCGATTGACCAGTCGTGGTTGTTGAATAGCGAGCTTCTCCATCGTTTTTTTGCAATTCATGCCGGTAGACATCCGCTGTCATTGTTGTGCCACTGGTGTGGTCCACCAGACAGTCACTATCATCTTTCTGTAGGAAATATTTTTTTAGCACACTGATTAGGTGGTTACCCTTGTCGTACAGGCTCATCTTTTCATCGCAGGTAACGAATCGATTCAGAATTCCGAATCGATTAAGTATTAAAACGTAGACCCGCTTTTTTTGCGTTTTTCTTTAAATGCTTAAGGTATTATCTACCAGTCAACCTTTAGGTGATACTGAGAAAACAGGAAATAGTTGCATTAAGGTTACAGTTCATTTTAGACGATTTTTAGATGTTTGTATACTTTATAATAAATCATCTAATACATATATACACATATACAAATACATCATATACGAGTACTTTTTTTTTATGTTAGAGGGGGCAGACGAGCAGATGGGTCACCTGATTGAATGTGACCATCGCCGCCCATGAACGTCTGCAACTCACTAGTCACAAACGCGTTCCCGGCCTTTTAGGAAGGAGTACGCTCTTTACTTGAAGGTTTGAAGGTCGTATCGGTCCAGCAATACCGCAGACGATAACCCGTTCCACAGATTGATTGTGCTGGGCAAATACTACACCTATATTATTATAATATTACCCATAAGTACATCCATAATAATACATAAATACACTATAAAAGAATATGAATGCAAACGTACATACGCAAATAGATACTGATAACAATTTAATATTTAAAAATAACATGAGCAAGTTGATTCTGCCAGTTGTCACACTAGATACTTTTACTTTAAACAAAAAAGAAGAACGGACTGAAAGAAAAAGGATGAGCTAACGAACTCAGGCGTATGGGAGGGACAACGAAGAAGAAGGTTATTGGAGGATCGAAGGCACCTGTCATGATTACTTCATAAGAGTTGGAAGTAGGAAGCTAGATACGTTAGCGAAGATGGTTTATTAAGAATAGTGAATAAGACAGTGAGAGCACGTCATTTACTGCGTAGACGAATGGGTAACCAGTTAAGCTGCGAACGGAAAGAGGACACATGATCATATGTACAGGGGTTAAATATGCAGTTATTAAGAAGACGGTCCGTCTTATCGATAAGATCTGCATTCAGGTCATAACAACACCAGCATAACATCACCATAGTCGATGATTGGGAAGATAAGCGTTTGCACAAGCATGGTTTTCAAAATTTTCACGTGAAATAGAGCTCGAAGAGTACCCGTAGCCCTCCGGCACTGATTTGCAACTTAATTACGCCAATCCAGTGTATACTCGAGGTGCAAGCCAAGACCTTTAACAGTTTGACAAAACGGTATTATAGTACCGTTGAAAATAACAGATGGAAGCTTGTCAATGTCTATTCTGCTCATTAATCGGTGACTTCTAATTATAATAGCTTGACACTTCGTGCGGTTTACTGATAGGCCGAACTTGTCAGCCATGCCTTAATGATTACCAGGTCTCTATTGACCATATCTATTGCTGTAGAGATATCTTTAATATTGCTTTGTAAATAGAGCTGTAGATGCGTGATACGTAGAACACAGTTTCAGGGTTAAGAGATTAATAATCACAGAAAATAACAAGTCTGAAAGAATACTGCCTTGAGGGACACCAGAGCCAAGATCACAGCACTTCGACGAAAATTCATCAACACGAACAGGCTGCTGGCGTCCCTGAAGATAGGATGTACGATTCGAGTTCTTGGGGCGAGACCTTGAAATAAGAAAGGATAGATAAAAGGATATCATGATTATCGGTATTAAAAGCATTTGAAAGGTCAACCAGTACTAGTACAGTAACCCTGGTGTCCTCCATCTACCCTAATATCACCAGTCACTTTAAGAAGAGCGGAAGTATTACTATGACCGGTCTAGAAACCAGACTTCAACGGACTTAACAATTTGTTTTTGTAAAATTACAGGATTCTAGGACCTTGGAGAGAAAGGGAAGAATCCGTATACGTCTAAAGTGGTTAATGAGTGTGGGATTTGCAGCTTTAGATAAGATGATGACATAAGCTTTGTGCCAAAGTTATGAAAAAAAAACCGGAATCTAGTGAGGAGTTAATAGTATAGGTGATAACAGATAAAATTTGGTCAAGGATTGTTGTAATCATACGTCGGCTGATTTGATCGCAACCGAAAACAACAGAAAATTGGAAAGAGTTTATGTCAGGACTCTCTAAACACGCCAAGTAGTCCACAGTACGTTGCTTGGTTTGGTGATCCAAATTGAGAAAAGAGGACAAAAGTCGATTTATATCATTCAAATCAACCATCCCCTGTAGGCCATCTGATCGCTGTTAGCCGATATCCAGAGTTCCAAGAAACCTCCAAATTTTAGAAGAACGGGTAATGTTGTCAGGAATGTGTCGGCGTTTAGCGTTACGTATCATCTGATTGCATCTATTTCTCGCAGCTTTTTACAAATCCTGCTTTTCTACAGTGCGATCCTTTCTCCATTTATAAAACGCCCTACCTCTGCGCCGCATAGCCATAGGCACCTCCTACTTCATTTAGGGTGCGGGTTGCCTCTTCAGTCAAATTTTGCTTATTTAGCTTTCCATCTTTCCGATTTGCCGCTAGTGCTTCAATGCTGTTTTGACATTAACTGCAAAGCCCGCAACAAGCTTAGCCGTAAATTGTGTTTGATCTGCTTCCACTATCGCCTTCAATTCGTCGTTGTCGACTGTAGTTAACGGCTGACCGCAAGGCTCGTTTTCCAAATCAAAATTTCCAGATCTTATTCGATTGACCTGTGGTATGGACCGTGTTTTTGCAAGCAGTTTTCGGCTCATACACGTCGTTAATATTTCGTGTTGCTTGCGCGATAGTAGTTCCACTTAGGAACTCATATTCGAAAATTGTACGAATTTTGAGTTTATCCATGGCGCCAAAAAACAACACGTTTTCACAAAAAACAAAACACTATCTTATTATGACTGAATTTTTTAATTAAAATAACATAGCTTTCGAATATATTTTTTTTTGAATTTTGAATTGGTCGCCAATCTATAAATCTTAAAATGTTGGTTTCAAAAATCTCCAAGTTAGGTTAGGTAAAAACCTATTACTATATATGCCGCAGTCTGCGCGCACTAACATATCTTTTTTCATTTCTTAATTCCCCATCGGTACCTGAGTACCTGGTTCCCCATCTCCGCCTCCTTTGCTCCAGTCACGACCGAAATCTTAGATCAACAAATAATATGCTTCTTCTTTGCCCCCCTCACACTTCCAACTTCATCAATTCTTCCTTCTATGTTCAGTCAGTTCTTCTCTGGAATGCGCTCCCAGTTGAAATCAGGATGTCCACTAACCGGTTTACGTTCAAGAAGAAAGTACAAGAACTTCTACAAAATAAGTTGGCAGAAGGGTCACATCGCTAGCACCCGACTATGTGTTTTGATATTTATGTATTTATAAATGTGTATATTCATCTATTGTATGTGTATACTTGAGACCTCTATGTATATATGTAGTGATGAATATAGTATTTTATTTATAGTATTTATAGTAGTAGTGTATATATGTAAGTTAGATTTATCCTACATTAATAAGTTTAATATAAACAAGTCAAATTCTCTGTTTTCTCTTGCACCTACAGCTTCATTTTTCTACATCACCCAAAGGTCGACTGGCAGAGAATGCCTTGGGCATTAAGTCCGCCTTTGTACAACTAGTGCATTAAGTTAAATAAATAAAATAAATAAATAAAATATATTATCATCAGCTTACAGTTACTTCATACTACTTAATTAAATAAAATTTACAAACGATAAACGCAAAAGGAATAACTCACAGTATAAATTAAATAAGTCAAAGAAACATAACCATTTATAAAGATGAGGTCAAGAGTCGAGTTCTTTTTATAGCTAAGAGCCTCATTAAGCACTGTTATAACACAAAATATATAACGAAATCCCATTTTATATTTTGAAAACATCATTTTATAATGCGCTATAATTCAAACGTTTGACACTTGACCTTTCTTATTGGTATAATAGGTCAATAAAATACTTCAGTCCTGATGTTATGTTGTTAATTATTGAAGACTTTAGATAGCTGTTTGTACACTACAATTTTAAAGCAATGTTGTCACTTCGACATACTATATCGCACCCTCAGTAATATAAAGGGTCAAGTCAAAACGTTTTGTGTAATGTGATTTTAAATGCTAAAGGCACAAAATGAATATCTCTACTGGTTAGCAATGACAGATAAAGAAACTGAATAATAATGACTCAGTAAATATATTTGTGCCTCTCCCTGCTCGTCTCCCGTTTTTAGTGCTACAAGGTCACAAGCAGTAAAGTGTCTATATTTGCCGAAAGCGAACCGTCAAAACCTTGTTCTATTCGTGTTTGTGCAGAAAGACAGGTGAGTTTTCTACTAAACTATAGAATTACACAGAACAATTCATCTATTTTCTTTGTCGATTGAGCTAATGAGTAAGTGAGCTTTTTCTCTATAATTTCTAAGGAGCTTTAGAAAAATTACGACCAAATTGGAGTCCTCGGGTGCCAAAAAAATTTGAACTCGTGTGTGGCTAAATTTCTTCTAGAAGAAGAAATAGGGGTGAGATCGTTTATCTTCTCTGGATTCCTTCACAGTTATAGGCATTATTTTATAGACTTAAACATGAAATAAATGGTTAACCTAACAACACATGGCAATTTACTTTTCGTATTTCGAAAGATTAATCTACTTTTTGCCGAAAACGCTAAGTTTCATCTTAAGATGAAACTCGAAATTTATGTTTACTAAGGTCCTCACCTAATAATCCTCCCAGGCCTACCGCCGCATGGTATCCGCCAAAGTTCACTCCCAATTTACCTTCTTTGAAGGTAATAAACTGTGGAGCCTGTAAAGATAAAAGAAATAAAATTATTGAGATGTTATTCTTAACTACAAATAGTTTCATAATTTTTTTTTGTATAAGGTGAAATTTAATCAGCAATTTTTATTCACAATAACCGAGGCAATCGTTGTGAAGAAAATTAAAATGATTGTAACTTATATACTATCTTACTTTGCTATCAGAGTCAAATTATCCATTTAAGCCAAACAAATAACCCTTATTAAGATTCTCATCCTAACACAAAAACGGAATCCTTATTAGGATCACTCGTGCGTTTATACAGCCAATTCGGACCGAATCTACTGAACCGATTAGGTTGATATTTAGGTATTTGGTATGTACACATTGTACACATACCCATTTATTTTCTGTGACCTAAATACAAACGTGCAACATTATGAATTTTAAATTCAATTTCAAGAATCACTTTCGCAGTAGAAATTAGAAAAAAAGAATATCAAACATATCCCTGTATTGTAATCTTGATGGACATTAATAATAGGTCGAGGGAGAGTGATTCTTATCTCTAAAATTAATGAGCCCAAATTGCTAAATAAATAAAATAAATATTCTTTACTCATATTATAAGGTCAAGGAACCTGTAAGATGATTATGTACTTAAATTATCGTGGTTAGTCTCTGTATAATATGCGTACAAACTTTAAGTTTAAAATTTTTCGTACGTCGTATCGTACTTCTTCATGCAAGTTCAATTTTAAATGGGACATTCTTGTATATATATATTTATAGATTATAATATACTACAAAAGTGCCCTTTACGAACGCAATTTAAACAAAATTCGCCTCTGGAGGGTATTTAATTGAAAATTTTATAAAGTAAGAGCCATAAATTGTGGTATAAACGGTTCAGTTTGCTAATTTATTGTTTTTATAACAAAGGTATAGCCACTTTTCATGTTAAGTGCTTACCTTAAAGAGCAGCATTAATACGTGCATTACCGGGGGCAAAAATAGAAATAACTTTGTAAAATTTGCATTTGGACAACATATAATTATGACACAATATAATTATATCTGGCATCTAGTCCCCTGTACTATAGTAAATACACTGCTGATAAACAAACTTCTATATTTTTAAATACATACATATTACAGAAACATACATAAAACAGATTACACCCAGACACAGAATAAATGATCGTGTTAATTACACCAATATTTGTCCTGGGTGGGAGTCGAATCCATCACCTCTAGCTTAGCAATCAGGACAACTAACCACTAGACCAGGGATTCGCAAAAGTAGGTAGATTTTCGGTCGTTTCCCAGGGGTCTACATAAACAAAAACTGTTTTTTTTGGGTTAACAAGGTCTTAAAATCGACCCCCATTACTTAACACAAGTTCTAATTTTAAAACTTTCAAGATGCTGTATTAGTTGTGTTACGTGAACCAACTTGTGAAGAATGACTAATATTTTAGTAGGAAGTATCATTGTTGTACTTTTTAAAAACTCAACAAGTCAATAACCGTGCAGTAATTTGGGTATGGTCTATGAAGTATTAGTTTATTTTAGAAAAGGGGTCATTTGCCCAAAACAGTTTGGGAATCACCGCCCTAGACCAACAAGCCATCGACATAGCCTTTCATGTGCCGACTAATGCAAATGGACTAAGAAAAAGGTCTTTCCCTTTGTTTCATAAAAATCATTTGAATAAGTCGAGGAATATGTAGATATCAAGATCCAAGTTATTTCTTGTTTTATCGTGTTGGAGCTATGTGTTTTTATTTATAGAAATATTTAATACTGTTCATAGTGTTGGCAACAATGTATCTGCAACGCCATCTTGACGGGCTGAAAAACTGCGGTACGCGGGAAGATTGCTGCTTTCAAAACTATATTTTTTTTTTAAAAAGACAACTCCCGTATTAGGAATATATCCTGTGTCGCGGGGGACTTTACAAACATATATGAAACGGACACAAAGAACACTCAGACTTAGAACAACATTTTGTGGATCACACAAAGTGTCGGCCCATGTGGGGTTTGAACCCACAACACTCGGCGCAGTAGGAAGCGGCGTGGCGACCGCTTAAACCACTGCGCTATACGTGCAATCGTATAGTAGTATAATATATTTTTAAGAAGTCTGAAACCCGGCTTTAAGATTTGAATTATTGCTATAATTTTACTAATATAACTACTTTCAATCGTAGAAAAATATTATAACATAATTACATCTTAACTTTGATTTGTTTCAAAACGTATTAGTTTACAATAGTTTTATTTTTAACAAACTTATATAAATAAAGTAGTTAGAAGACTTGGATCTTTCAGCGATGACCAGTTCCAGTTAGAGGCATGCGAGCCTATCTTGCTCGACCTATTGTCGCTACTCCCCAATGTACTCGTATAATTGAATTTAATTCCGAATACGTTAATGGGACAAAAAAAAGTCAGACAAATGTGGACGGTTAAAGCACCTAAAGCTCCCCTTCGGGGATATAGACATGAGCCTAAGTCAAGATGACACGCTTTGTTTTCTGTAGGTGGTTAAATATTGAAGACGAAACAAAAATCCTTTAACATTCACAAACTGGATATTTTTGTATACCCAATGCCATTTTCAGAACTAAGACGAATCCAGCGACACCTTCCAAGCTAAAATCTATCAAGCCATTTAGACTACAGATTACTGACAAAGAAATATACATACATACATAAATACACTCGAGGTGGGTATAAATGCTATCAAACCTACGTGTATAATATCCATTTCAAATCACTGATATCAAATTAGTCCTTGAACTTTATAATATAACATTATAATCTGTAGGTATGTAATGTTATAAAGTTGAAGGATTCAGGTTGAAGGATAGGTATAATTAAAACATCTACATGTAAGTTTTTTAAACCCCCATTAAACTTTATCATCATGGCTTCTATATGAAGTTCTTACTTAAGTATTTCATTATAAATTCACAAAGAATATCTTGTAATCATAGAATACACTACTATGCATATAAATGATAGGAAATATTCAAAGTAATCAGCGTTAGTGACTCAAGATGTAAAGACGTGGATAAATATTCAATGTTCTGAATTGCATCTATAAAACCATTATGTTTTTGTACTAAGATTATAAATGCGTTTATTAAACGGTACCCACGTATTGTACAGAATGGTGTAGACAATGGCTTTTGTTAACAGACGTAAGAAGTTTTGCGCAATCTAAAAGATAGATAAAAATATATGAACGTTGTCCCTTGTTTTAAGTTGGCTATGTAAAGAGAAAGGCAAAATTTAATAATGGCAATGTCTCGGCATAGTAATTCCTATAATTTTTAATATTTGTTGAATAAGTAATATTATAAAAATCATAATTATAGAGTTCAATTATTTATCAAACGTCACACTTGTTAGAAAAGGTTCTCGTAGTCTCTCACTCTTCCTCAATCAGGTTTTGTCTATTTTTTTTTTAATCCATATATAGAACCTGTTTGTTACTGTCAAGAGTGAAACTATTATTTTTCTTCACATTATGGCATAATACATTATTATATGTCATTTCTCAGTACCTATTTATTCCTTATCAAAGACGATTTCAAACAATTTTGAAATTTTTATGAAATAAAGAGAGTTTGAGTTTATCTTTATTACAACTTTTTTTATTGAATTGTTGAATCTTGTATTTTTAGGGTATTGTGCGGTATCTTTGTGATTTTAATAGTTGTAACTAAAATTGTAATAATATCTTATCCCGTCATATTTTGCTTAGCTGCCGAATCTTGGAAATCACTTATTTAAAACCCTTTTAATGACCTTTACTTTATTTGCTCCAATACACCGCATTTGGTCATTGTATAGTTATATATTATAGCCATTTTGTAGTTAAGTTAAAAGTTTACCTTGCTAATAACGCGGAAACTTTGTGGTAAATATCGTAGGAAACTTCCAGTGCATAATAAAATAAACTGCCAACAACTTTCAGACCAGGTCTAGTTAAAGTACTTTATTTAGTAGAAACCGCATTTTCGTTTTTATGTCCACTTCCCTTTATTCTAATATCAGTAGCAGTAGGGAACCAGAATGTGGCTTAGGACCACTATTCTATTTACTTAAGATTGAGGATATCTAAGTGTGCTTTAACTTTGATTATCTTTGTGACAATTTGTGGATTCGTGTGCTTTGTCCTATTAGTCACAGTGGCTTGTGTTCAGTATCGTTTATGTGTGTATAATTGAGTATATTATCCTAGTTGATAATAGTCTAGTGAGAAATTAGCTAAAAAGTAGCCTCTGAACCGTTGAATATATTATACATATCGCTTCTACTTACAACATAGATTTACGTTAACTTCACAGTTGAAAAATATAGGTATATTACCAAACCTTATTATATCGCTAGCCCGCAAGAATACTGGTCAAAAGAACAATGGCAGACACATATTTACCAAAAACTTAAATTTTACAATCATCATCCTCATCATCATCAACAGCCCTTAACAGTCCACTGCTGGACATGGGCCTCTCCTTAGAAAGGAGGGGTTGGCCTACTATACCACGCTGGCTAATTTTACAATACAATATTATAATTTACAAAATTAGAACGGTTTTAAAATCGATATACAATGGGCTTTTTAGAAAATTATAACACTTTATAACTATTCCCATAACTTTTTGAAATAATTTAATTTTAAAGTATTTAAGTGAACAAACCTGAAATGGAAATTCTTAAGAATTACACTTTGTGGTATTAAAAAAAATATATTCCAAATGTAATTCATACCAAATCACTACATTATATTGAAGTTTCATTCTTATACTATACAATAAACATTTAAAAGTACGTCAATAATGATATTAATAAAAACGATGTTTGATATGCCGTTGTTCTACAGTTTTACCGTATATGGTTATTGGATAGAATATGGGTTAATTTTCGTGTTAAAACTATATTCTAAATAAGACTTAGCAAATATAATACTTTATGAAAGACACAGTAAGAATCACAAAAAATGCTTTTCTTCTTGAGATAAATTCGAA